GCATTTAAAGACAGTAAATCCCCATAAGAGCCTTTGAATTCAGTTTTTTGTCTCTCCTGCAAAATTTACGAAATCGGAGTTGGACGGTTAGAATTCTCGACCGACGATATATACATGTAAGCCGATCAGTGTTTACTGCCAGTAAATCATTTTTGTGCAGTAGAAGGGTATATCTAGATCTAATCTTTTCTTCGAGCTAAAATCTGAATCTGACTCTTTCAAATGTGGGGAAAATGGTGGTAAACATAAAGGGAATGTACCTCAATAATAATTACAAGATTTTAGAAGCACTTCCCTTATAATTGGTATCAAAACAACCTCTGTCACAGTCCCGTAAATTTTACGGGCCATAGGAACAGCGCTACACGGTTCAGGCCTGTAAATTCTACGGATGCGGCCGCGAAAAGGTTAACCTCTAAGCCCCGAGAGCCCCCAGAGAAAGTTTGACTGAAGTATAATAAAAAATAATAATAACAACAATATCATTAATAATAATAAAAGAAATAATAGAAGGCATTTATATTGTGCATGTTCATGTTTGAAAAAGTCTCTGTGCATTTTACAATTCAGACCTTATAACATTTGAATTTACAGAGAGTCAGCTAGAGAAAATCTTCATCGAAAGACCCATATCCCACAACAAAGTACCAAGTAGAAAAAGATAAAAAGACTGACCATTTATCGGGGGGATAGTTCCTTAGAGTAGAATTGACCACTGTTGTAGTAGAACCACCTCCATCCAAATTGATGGCATTGACAATGCCTAGATCTATCAGTATGTCAGCAAACTCACGAAGGTTCACTCTGGGGAGGGGAAACATGCATAGGAACCATCATGTAAGTTATCAGTCATAGGAGAATGGAAAAAGTAAATAGGTAAATTTGCAAAGTGTCAGCTAAAAAGCTGAATTCCTGAGAGAGAGGGGGAGAGGGAGGGAGAGGGAGGGAGGGAGAGAGAGAGAGAGAGAGAGAGAGAGAGAGAGAGAGAGAGAGAGAGAGGCGGAAAAAAATACTATCGATTGCTCAGTGTGTAAAACTCCATCGTACACCACTTTTCAAAATGGTGTACGGCACAGTCTTACAGTAAGTGTTATTCCCTAGAATGTGCAGCAACCCTAATATTGAAGGGGAATAGAATTTTACAACATTACACTATTTTGTCAAATTACTTGAAAAAGGAGACACCACTCAGATCAAAAAAGATAACTAGAACACTCAAGATGATAAACAGAAAGGATAGAAGTGACTCTGTCTGTTGTTGTTGTTTTCAAATCCCTTTAGCTGCGAGCATTTCGCTCTTGGCAGCGCAATGCCTCCCTCAAGTAACCACAGGTCCTTGTCATCTGGTCAACGCCAGAGTAGAGCAGGCTTTGTAAGTCTGTAGGTGTGTGCAGGAGCTTGCGTCGAAGAACTGCCAGGTTTGGGCAGTGAAGGAGAAGATGTTCAACAGTCTCCTCGTGGTAGTCACAGTGTCTGCAATGGGGTTCCCACATGGGGTTGATTCTATTTATGTGCTTGTTGGTGTGTAAGTGTCCTGTGCGGGCTCTGAAGATCAATGTCTGAACGACTCTGTTTAACCTGTCTCGACAGGATTAGCAAAATCCCTTTGTGTTACTTATTTTTCTAGTACAGTAAAGATAGTGTTCTGCACTGTTAAAAGCTTTAGTGTTACTAATTTTTATCATGACAACAAATTTATTGTTATCCACTACATGAAAAATCTGTAACATCCTAAACAGCTAGAATTAAAGGCATTTCCTGAAAAACTACAACACTTTGCAACAGACTGTAAGGCGTTTCACAGAGCTTACCCCAGCTCATCTGTCTTTCCTTCCACTTGGATCATGTGAATCCTTCCATCAGCATCATGGCCAACGGCTGTCCGTGCTGACACCACAGAGATGAATCTCTCAAATGTACCTGAGAGAAGAGACAAATACAAATACAATTCAAAATGGGAACAGTCTAAGTCTAAACCTTCAACGATTCAGCTTAAAAGCTGCCCTGCACCTACAAAATAACTTTGTTGCTTTTAATGTGCTCTCTTCCCTTTTCAAAACTTTGTTTTTTAATATCTGCTCTTTACGCAATAAGAATCACAATGAAAGCCTTCATTTTTTAATACATATTGTGTCATGAACAGAGTACAAGAAGGTAGGGCGCTGCACAGTGGCGACCGACAGTGGCATTGTTTGTAAACTGTTCTGTATTTGTGTAATAGTGTGTATTTATGTATGTATTTATGCATGTATGTATTTATGT